AAAATTAGTTTTCTGCCAAAAGGATCAGTCAACGGTTATTTTTTATGAAAATAGTTTTACCTATACAAAAATCTCACACAGAAAGAGCAGATCGCGTTTTAGAATTAGTTTTGACAGATTAAATTTGTTTATTTGTCCATAGCTAGAGATATCATATGGTACTTATTCCATTATTATTTACATCAGTCAGGTTTTAGAAAGGCGGTTTTGTACTACATTGTTACATTTACCTGATTGTATACTTCCATCGCTTGAAAAGGGTGAACTGGTATTGTTAGATTTTTCTTAGGCATTTAACAGTCTGCATATATCATTATTAGTATTACGACTGGGGTGCCCCAGAGGTCCGTTTTGGGTCCTGTTCTTTTTTTTATATATATGTCGGATGTGTTCAGTATAATAAAAACACTCTTGCATTTGCTAATAATACTTATTTCTTTTTCATTTAGTCCTAGTCATGCTGCTGCAGCCAGTGTAAATTTAAACAATGACTTATTGTCAATCACTGCTGGTAAAGAAATCATAGGTATTTGGCTCTTAAACACCTTTACAGGAGCAGGAATATTGTTGATTTTGGTTTAATAAAATCTCTTGCTGCATCAATGTTGGTTTTATCTATTATTAATTACTGCCTCATTCTTTACTTTCCGTATCTGGACAGTACAACAAGACTAGACTAGACTATAGAATACAAAAAATTCTAAACCTCTGTTGCAGTTTCGCATTTGGTTTAAAGAAATTTGATAGGGTATCATTCAAAATAAAAGAGCTTCGTCGAAAACATTTTAAAGTGCTATTTATAAACATTTGTGTATCGTTTGTTTCCATCCTCTGCTCTTACTTATCTTACAATTACTACAAATACTACAAATACTACAAATACTACAAACTCTATAAATACTACAATTACTACAAATGCTGCAAATACTATAAATACTTCAAATACTATAAATACTACAATTACTACAAATGCTGCAAATACTACAAATACTACAAATACTACAAATGTTACAAATACTACAAATATTGCGAATTCTACAAATACTACAAATACTGCAAATACTACAAACAATACAAGTACTACAAATACTACATATACTACAAATACCACAAATACTACAAATACTACAAATACCACAAATACTACAAATACCACAAATACTACAAATACCACAAATACTACAAATACCACAAATACCACAAATATCACAAATACTACAAATACCACAAATACTACAAATACCACAAATACCACAAATACTACAAATATTACAAATACTACAAATACAATTACTACAAATGGTAGAATACTATAAATACTTCAAATATTATATATACTACAATTACTACAAATGCTGCAAATACTACAAATACTACAAATTCTACAAATACTACAAATGCTACAGATACTACAAATACTGCGAATAGTACAAATACTACAAATACTGCAAATACTACAAATAATACAAGTATATGATACATATGATTTACCATTTAATATAATAATAAAATCACGGTCAATTTTAATTATCCTGTAACAATATTATTTTCCCTCTCCAAAATTTTAACCCCGATGGAATTATATAGTCGTTATCCCAGGCATAATCGAAAAATTTTAATTTAATGTAATTTTTAGTCTCGTCTATTCAAAACACAAATAAATATTGGCCCTTATTTCTCGCACACCCTGTATATGATAAGGGAAGATGTGTCAGGATATTCAAACCTCAAACGAAAGCTGTCATACTTTTTAAAAACAGCAGTTTCAGCCTCTTCCAATAACTTAATTAAGCAACTTATTTTTCAGGTATCCTCAAAATAATTTCTGCAGAAATCCTTGTTCTCGTACAATGAAAAACAAAAGCAGTTTAAAATCTATAAAGTCTATAAAAGTGAATATGGACACCAAAGTTATTTTGGAGTCTCAAATACTTTCAAGCTCATTCTATGTAGCTATGAGATTCCCGTTGCAGTTAGCTCAATGCTTTGGGTTATTTCCGATAAATGTGGGAGGAACAGTACCAAAGAGTAACTGCTTAAAAATAAAATGGTTCCATTGGAGGATGGTGTACTGTCTACTGACATTTGGATTTGCCTTTTTCGACTTTTTAGCACAACTATTTCAATTAATTAAAAGCACAAATCAGTCTTTAGGAATTAGTAAGTAACAACTAATTAACTATTTTTATTTATAACATTACGAATAATAGCGGGTCCAAAATAGATCCTTGTTATACACCTGATCTCTGCCGGAACATTTCAGATTTATTCCCCCGGAATTGAATAAATTGGTATCTATTCTGTAGATACGAATTCAACAAATTAATCATTGGTGTATTGAGATCAAACGTTGTTAATTTCTCTAATAAAATTCCGTCATTTCTGTTAACCAAAAGTATTAACACGGACCATTTTCTAAATACATTCGAATTACTATGTCTTTCAACATATACATGGTACATTAGGTAATTGTAAGGACAGAAATATGAAAAACAAAATTGAAGAATTGTGAAATAGAAATATAAAAAAGTAATTAACGAATTGCTCGACGCATAAGGAATGTCGATTGTATTTTTTTTAATATACCAAAACAGTAGAGTTGTTTCCTTCTTTATTCTTTATTACATTAATATAACATAATTGATATATAAAATCAATAAATGACATAGTAACTTTTTTGTTCATCATGTTTTATCTGAATTACCCAAAACAAAATTAAGATGATATGCTGAATCAGCTAAAGTGAAATTTAAAAATTTCGTTAAATGCATAGGTACAATTATTGCGTCTCCTCTGTGGACGGTACTAATGACAGCCAATAGCAGCTGCTAGTCGTTTAATTATAAATACAGTACATTAGACTTAATTGCAAGATTGACGAATCATGCTCATATCTTAGAATTACACAGGGTGATTCACAACTTGTAAAATCCTTATAGTTGCCGAGAGAAAACTTATTGAAGTATTTACAACCCTTACATCGGTGGGCTACTGTAGTTTCTAGCTAGCGTCATTCCCGCTGTGCGCTGTAGGTACGTAATTCGCTCTCTCTCGGGGGTTTTAAAGTGTAAAAAATGGCTTATGTGTATAGAATAGAATGGAATGGAATAGAATAGAATAGAATAGAATAGAATAGAATAGAATAGAATAGGATAGGATAGGATAGGATAGGATAGGATAGGATAGGATAGGATAGGATAGGATAGGATAGGATAGGATAGGATAGGATAGAATAGAATAGAATAGAATAGAATAGAATAGAATAGAATAGAATAGAATAGAATAGAATAGAATAGAATAGAATAGAATAGAATAGAATAGAATAGAATAGAATAGAATAGAATAGAATAGAATAGAATAGAATAGAATAGAATAGAATAGAATAGAATAGAATAGAATAGAATAGAATAGAATAGAATAGAATAGAATAGAATAGAATAGAATAGAATAGAATAGAATAGAATAGAATAGAATAGAATAGAATAGAATAGAATAGAATAGAATAGAATAGAATAGAATAGAATAGAATAGAATAGAATAGAATAGAATAGAATAGAATAGAATAGAATAGAATAGAATAGAATAGAATAGAATAGAATAGAATAGAATAGAATAGAATAGAATAGAATAGAATAGAATAGAATAGAATAGAATAGAATAGAATAGAATAGAATAGAATAGAATAGAATAGAATAGAATAGAATAGAATAGAATAGAATAGAATAGAATAGAATAGAATAGAATAGAATAGAATAGAATAGAATAGAATAGAATAGAATAGAATAGAATAGAATAGAATAGAATAGAATAGAATAGAATAGAATAGAATAGAATAGAATAGAATAGAATAGAATAGAATAGAATAGAATAGAATAGAATAGAATAGAATAGAATAGAATAGAATAGAATAGAATAGAATAGAATAGAATAGAATAGAATAGAATAGAATAGAATAGAATAGAATAGAATAGAATAGAATAGAATAGAATAGAATAGAATAGAATAGAATAGAATAGAATAGAATAGAATAGAATAGAATAGAATAGAATAGAATAGAATAGAATAGAATAGAATAGAATAGAATAGAATAGAATAGAATAGAATAGAATAGAATAGAATAGAATAGAATAGAATAGAATAGAATAGAATAGAATAGAATAGAATAGAATAGAATAGAATAGAATAGAATAGAATAGAATAGAATAGAATAGAATAGAATAGAATAGAATAGAATAGAATAGAATAGAATNCTTTTTTTGGATTCTAAAGGTTTTTAAAGCGCTAGAGCAGCCTCCCCATAGCACAATACCATAAGACAAGATTGAATTAAAGAGGGAAAAATAAACTGATCTTAAAGTATCAGTGCTAATCACCTCTCTCAGTTGCCTTAACAAAAAAACTACCCCAGACAGCTTTTTATTCATGGACTCAACATGGTCAGACCAAGTCAATTTATTATCAATTGTAATACCAAGGATTTTAACAAATTCTACATGCCCTGGAGTAGTGGTAAACGTTATACTCTGGGATTTATCTCTATTAATTTTTAGATTGTTATATGTAAACCAATTTATGGCTTTAGATAGCATGTTAGATGAATCTTCAGTTAGACATGAGGAATCTTTATTCATATTAATCAGGGTGGTATCATCTGCGAATAGTATACACTTATTAGGTGCGATAGCAAAGCAAAAGTCATTAAGATATATCGCGAAAAGCAAGGGCCCCAAAACAGAACCCTGCGGAACACCGTGATCAATACGGTAAAACTTGGAAATATTACCATTCACTGTAACACACTGACGTCTGTTTTTCAAATAACTTGAGAACAGATTAAGGGCGCAACCTCTAACACCATAGCAACTTAGCTATAGTTATAACTATAGCAACTCATAGTTGATGGATATCGTTTTAATTTATGGTGAAGCAAGACATCATTTGTGCCATGGTGAAGCATTTGTGTTATGGTGAAGTAAGATAACATTTGTGTTAATTCGTAGAAACTGGGTAAGACGGGCCTAAATGTGGTTACACGTCTGTGGACAAAAATTTGAACAGTTGTAACATAAGTTATGTCAAATTATTTTATTAATTTAAACCACAAATTAATTTTATTATTTAATAATAATAACGGCAAAAGCAGTTGAATTTACTGATATAAAATAGGTATTATAAAATTTTATTTATTTATTTCCATGGGAGAGACAAGTTTCCAGTGCCGTGCAGAAGTGTATTTTTCAATCATTTTCGAACTGCCCTTTTTCATTTCTTTTTTTACAAAATTGTATTTTTGAGAGTCCACTGTACATTCAAAAATTGTTTTTGAATAAGTTCTGAATCCCCCTGTATGTACCTCCGAAGAATGGTATTCATATTTTTTCTTTTTTGGAAAGGTTTTTATTTCTTTGAATATAGCTCTGGCTAATTGGTACTACCAAAGCCATCAATCCACATTCACACACACATTTTCTTTAATGCTATTATTCAACAGTATCATCACAGACAATATAGCTGCAAGCAATAAAAAAATATAAATAAACCTTAAATCAAAAAGCACAGTTAATTTTCACATTCGTAACAAATTTTATTATATATCTGCAATTTCCGCAATTCAAATACATTACTGCAATATTATAAGCATTATGCGTATGTCAGAAGTTTTATGTTCTTCATAAAGAAGCTGTTTTTACTTCTTTTGTTAGATATCAACTTATTTCTGGGCGTATTAAATAAGTTACACAAATATAAATCAAATCAAAATGCAAGGACTCGCCAAAAAATATTTGTCAGTGAAAACTTTGTTTCCATATGGAAATTAAAGAAAATCAACTCTTCAGACCCATCTGCACTAAAATGTACTAATGGAAATTTGTAATAAGTTAACGCTTTCTATTTTAGGTCTGAAAATAGTGTGAAACTTTATTAGAATAGCCTTTATTAGATAATTGATCTCATTTGGTACTACAACTTATATATTTCGTTATAATTAAAATAATATTTTGAAATGTAGGTAATATATTTTTTTTCTAGTATTTTCTATAGACTGCGTAACCAAATACATATTATTTTTTAAACTGACTTTGGATTGGCCCAATTATCTAAAAGAGTGGCAGAACATTGAAGATAATATGAAGAAATATGAACTTTGCAGTCATTTGCAGAAGAGTTTATGTCGAATTACAGTCATTTTGATGTGCCTTGCCGCTGGTAATAACGGAAACTTATCATAATTTACCCTAAGTATTCTCTAGTATGTAATGTTGTTTTTGATATAAAATCGTTAAAATCACGTCTCTCTGATACACAAAAACTAGAAATTTTAAACAAACAAAACAATTGTTTTTGAAATGATATGGCAGCAGTTAACTGTTATACTTGTTTTTAGTGGAACATGCTGCAATCAACGGATTTTTATTAAAAGACTGTATAGATAAGGAGCCTACCGTCCTAAAGGCCTTCAGAAAGTATTTTGTAAAGGAGAATTATAGTGCTGTTTTCGAATTAGTGGAATATTCTCTTTTAACGGGAATTATTTTTGAGGTATGATAGGTATATTGTTAAAAAAAATAATAGTGCTATAAATTAATTGCAGGTGCCTAAAATAGGGATGATTATTATCATAGGGCTTAAGATATAGTGTAGCTCAAACTAACAAAAAGTAAAAGTTAAGGTGACTATTGAATATGCCGTAAATAGATCTCAGGCATATACTTTAGGTTAGGGGAATTTAAAGATAACTGATTTTTTTATTTCGCATTTTACTTATTTTTTCTGATGTTGAGCTGGAGCTAAAAATATGTAGACTTTTTCGTAGGAACTTTCTATGTTTTTGGTCACTTCAATGTTAGTTTTGCTCCTCAATATTTCGTTTCGAATTACCATCGTCAGCTTACAATTCATTAAATACTTTCAAAGTACATAGTTTTTAAGTAATTTTATTCTAGCTTATGCTTATCAGGAATTGTTTTGAAAACATAAAAATTTATGTAGAATTAAACTACCTTCAGCCAAGGAAAATAGAATTTAGTCAGTAAGACAAAACATTTATTGTAACAAATTAAATTACCCTGAGCTTTCTTTGGCATTTTAATGTTGAATTCTACTTATTTTTTAACATACTGTTAAATTCTATCAAAAAAACTCCTGATGGAGTATGTAAAAAGTTGTCATGAAGAAGTGTTTCTTTTTTTCTCCGATAATAATATTTCAAAAACAGTATAATAGAGAACTGAAACTGAAAATATTTCGAAAACTGATTTAACCATTTCAATAGTCCTCTAAAGACGTAACTTTTTTCTAATTTAAGCTACCCTGTGTCTTTCATAGTTTTCGATATCTCGACTTATGATAGATTTCTTTATATATTTTAATATAATTAATATTTTTAAATTAAACTTAATTAATATGTATACCTATATTTTTTACCATTTGATTAAAAATTTCGACCAAAGTAACTTTACACTTTATTATTAATTTGTAATAATAATTTTAGTTCATCAATCTTCAAATGACGTTTATTTGGAATTATGGTGACATTTTTATAATACTTATTGGTACTGCACTGCAATGCAAATTAAATCAGATTACAAAAAGGCTACAATCTATTTGCAGACTTAAAGTAAGTGCTCTTTTTTAATTTATTTTAATTGTAAGCTGTACATATTGGTACTATACATACATAAATGGGAAATTCTTTGTCGAAATCCCACCCCATTTGCCCAAAAATTGAAGTAAACTAAAAAATTATTTTCAATATCATTTAATAGCTAGGTATATTTGTATAGTTATCTCTTATCGATCTGTGCCCATTTCAAAAAAATCAAGATGGTGGACCGGTATGACCGAAAAACTTCGAGAAAGTGACCAAAGTTATAGTAGTTAGAAGTCGCAAAGGTGGTAAAAAAATTACGGTCAGGGCTTTTTCTTATGTATTTTGACCCGCTAAATAAAAATCTAACCTTAGTTTTGGTCCATATCTCAAGCGTTTGTGCATGGGGACTACACTACACTACACTATCTAGTCTCCCTGCGTTTGTGCCTAACCTTGGAAACACCTAAAACAACAGTTTTACGAGGAGAGGGGAGAAAATTATAAAAATAGTCTATTTTTGTGTATTCCAACCCCCATAGAACTACCGTTTCGGGCGTTTTTTGATGTTAGGTACGAACGTTTGGGTTGTAGGACTAAAATAGAAACAGATTCGTATTCTGTGGGTTGAGATACACAGGAATACACTATTTTTATAATTTTCTTCCAACTCCTGCTACTCACCACCCCGTAAAACTGTTATTTTTGGGTGTTACGCTTGGGATTTTAGCCAAAAATAAGGTTAGATAGCTACCAAATGAAGTTTTAGTTTTCTTAAAATTTTTGGACAGATGGGGTCGTCTTTTGACAAAGAATTACAAAATATATGTATTTTTAGGTAAGAGATATGCAAGTATGGAATGTTGTTAGGAAGGATTATCTAGAACTCTCAAAATTATGTCATTCGACAAACAAGAAAATTTCCTTGCTAATAATTGTCAGCTTTTCTTCAAATCTTTACTTTCTCTTGAAGCAAATGTTTGGTAGTTTGCGGCCAATGGAAAGCACTTTACAAAAATTTTACTTTTTCATATCGTTAGGATTGTTACTATTAAGGGTTATTTGTGTTTGTATATTTGGAAGCAGTCTCCATGTGGAATGGGAAAACATATCCTACGTTCTTCAGTCAGTGCATTCATCTGCTTATAACATAGAGGTAAGAATTATTTAAATTATAAAATGTATTATTTTTCACATTCCCTTAATTGAAAGTGCTGTTTCTGTTGCTAATATCAGTGCAATTTTTAGTCTCTTAAAGATTAACAGCCGGATTCATGAAAAGGGCGCAAGGCGATAGTCGGACTAAGGAGTTTTGCGCCCGTGTAAACGTACAAAAAATGCGTTTCCCTTGCGCCTTTTACTTGCGCTAATAGTTACGTCAAAATTTAGACCTTCTACATGACATGCATAAAAATCGTGCAACTTAAGGTGTAGTTTATCAAGTTACGTGGCATTATAATTAATAGTTGCGCCTTCTTGGCGCACTTTTTGTGAATGAGACTACGCTTTTTATTTAAATTCGCGCAATACGGGCGCAAAATTTTTGTGCAACTTCCGCTAGTCAGACTAACGTTACGGTTAGGTGGTGTTAAATGGGATGAGGTAAGCTCCATTTTCAATCGAAAGTATTATCTTTGGGATTTGACATAAATGACTAATGACGTCATCAATTATATTTTTTCCATAAACATACCCAATTTATCCTGTTAAAAACCTCTCTTTTTTCTAATAAATTTTTATTAGAGAATTTTTTCTGTATTACTTCCCGTTTAAAAGTTATAAGCAATATCGTCCTACAGCGTCAATGCCACCTAAAAATCACATTAGCGGTGGAAGGATCAAGTAGTCATTGGAAAATAATTGAATGTTCGTTGTTTAAAGTGCATAAATGTCATTAAGAATAAATAAAAGGACTAAATTCGATAATTCTTTAATACAGTTAAAACAAAAGGTGATAATAATAATAACTAAACTTATAAAATGGGGCAAACGCTTTCATACTACATACATATTACAATTTATTCTCTATATGACCTCCTCTAATTTCAAGACACATATCCAATCTTCGCCTGACTTCTTTGTGGGCTGCGTTTATAAATATTTCGCCGTTTAACTCATTACAAGCGTTTGTGATTTTTTCTTTCACATGATCTCACGAAGGTTTTTGTAAACTTTATTTTTTTAAATCCCCACAAAAATAAGAGGGGTTTTACATCTGGTGACTTTCCGGGCCACTGAATAGGTCCATTAAGCCCAATTCATTTTTCTGGGAAGTAGTAGTAGTAGTAGTTAAAGGGGCGGCCTCAGCCTGGCAATTAGGCCACATGTGGGCCCTTTTTGCCTACCCCGCCGTCCCATCACCTAACCACTCTCTGCCTCTGACCCGACGCCCTGATGAACGCCAGGATTTTAGTCCATGGAAGGTCTCTCGCCTCAACCCCTTGCAGCTCTTCAGCACCAAAGACTTTATGTCTTATTCTCCCAAAGGCTGCACACTGTCCCAGAAGGTGGACAGGGTTGTCCTCCCCTTCGCCACATTTTGGGCAATAGGCAATTCCTATTAAGCTTAAATGCCTCCTAAGTCTGCAGTGGCCTGTCAGAACCCCCACCATTTGGTTTAGGGCCCTTCGATCGAGGCTCTGCAGCCATCTTGTCTTGGATTTGCTAGGTCCATGTATAAAACTATGGGCCTGCCTACATCCTCTATTTCTCCTCCAATTATGATCTAAAGTTTGATAGGCCCATTTATTTAGGGCCCCGTTAATGCTGCCTCTTGTGATACCTAAGATTGGTTCAGGTCCATGTCCGGGCCTCGTTACCAGGGATACCCATATGGCCTGGGTCCCAAACCAACTCTACTTCTTTTCGTCTGGCCAATGACTCTAGAGCGTCTCCACATTCCTGGACAAGGACAGACCTAGTCCTCGGGGAGCTAACCGCTCTGACCGCGGCCTGACTGTCGGAGCAGATAACAATCTTCTCCTCTGCACAATTCCTTACCTCCTCCTTACTTGCTACCATCAAAATAGCAAAATCCTCGGCCTGGAAGACTGTAGCATACATACCCAGTGAAAAGCTTTCCTGGATGCCGCTGCCTTTTCTTGGAAACTGTTATCTAAATATTGCTGCACAATCCTTGCCTTGTGGGGTGGAAACCATAGGTTTCTCCTTACCTGCAAAGGCACATTCTCCAGAAGCGCATGAAGTTCTTGTAGGAAATTTAGAAAACTCATGCTGTTCAATGAATGTTCACAAAAATAAGGCCCAATTGAATGCATACGGATGTTGCCGCACCATACATCTACTCCAAAATGGCCTTGGTATTGGACTGGATTTACAATGTGGGGATTTTCAATGGATCAGTAGTGTTCGTTGCGCCTATTTGGCAAACCATTACTGATAATTCGACTTTCATCCATCCAAAGAACGTGCCGAAAAAGGTTCTGATAAACAGTTTCTACATTTACTACAATTTGAGCTATATAATTAAGTCTGTTTTTAATGTGATGCTCAGACAAATACTCCAAATTGTGAATTTTGTAGTAATAATACCCATTGGTCTTTAAAAATTCGTTGAACGGTTGATTTATCCAAATTCCATTCTCGGCTAGCCTGCCGTATAGAATTTCGTGGATTTTGTTCGAAATACTGTAACAGTCTAACATTGTTTCTTACCCTTCGGTCAATTATTTGTTTTTTCCCAACAGAAAATGCATCTTCATTCTCGATGTAACTCTACAGCTCTTCTTAAATTTTTTTGTGACTCACCGTAAATTAGCACCATATAAACTTTTTCTGAATGAGAAAACATTTTGTAAGCAGAAAAGTTATACGTCTGATGTTCGTATTGAGTATAGACCAGTATTTTGCGACATTTATGCACTTTAAACAACGAACATTCAATTATTTTCCGACTACTTGATCCTTCCACCGCTAATGTGATTTACAGGTGGTATTTCTTTTGAGACTTTTTAGGGCGATATAGTTTATAACTTTTAAACGTACAGAAAAATTTCTCTAATAAAAGTTTATTAGAAAAAAGAGATCTTTTTAACAGGAAAAAAATTTGGGTATGTTTCTGTAAAAAATATAATTGATGACGTCATTAGTTGTGTCTGTCAAATCCCAAACATAATACTTTCATTGAAAATGGAGCTTACTTCATCGCATTTAACACCACGTGTCACAAATTTTATTTAAATTTTTTGTATCCTCACAGTAGGCCCATTCTATCGATTTTGAGACACCCTGTACATTTAACTAATACTATTATTTGTCCAGGTTCATCGATTTGTAGAAAACGTATCGACTTCTGAGCTGGTCCTTACGGGAAAGAATTTCTTCAAAATAACAAGAGGTTTAATTCTAAAGGTCCTATTAAATATTCGTAATAGAATTTTTTAAGAAATTATAAATTCTTTTAGATCGCTGGGGCCATTGTTACCTACGAATTGGTTGTTATTCAGTACAATATGGAAACCCTAAAGAGTAAACCATACTAAGAACATATTCAGTAGCTGTTTTTATTATTTCGTAGTATTTTTATGATGTTTTTAATACTTCAATCAAGCAGTATTCTTTTTCAGTCAAAAAGTATAGGTATATCAAAATCAGTTAACTAATTTTTGTTCATTCGTTCCCTACCGACGAAGATCTATTGAAGTCATACAAAAGGAATCAAAATGTTTCTCTTTCCATTAAATTTGAATACACTCTGCACTAAATGTAGTTTTTTATCTTTTGAATCAGTATTAGAAATTGGTTGTACCAGCAACAGTAATACGGCATGTTGCCATTTCCAGTATGCCAGCTCATCTGGAATGAAACTCTTTTAAATATGTGTTAATTTTACAATGATAGAACAGTTTACCTAAGATATATTAACACTGTTTTTAACACTTAGCTAAAGTAATTGTCCATATACATTAACAAGACATTCAAAGTTTTCCTAACCATATAATGAAATTTTAAATATTATGGAATATGTCTGATAGCGTATTTCTCCATGTTTTTTGCTACATCGAATAGTAAATATTGGAAATATGAACTCATGAGATGTTTATGGAGATGGTTTATATGGTATTATGTGGCAAGTAGCATTTAAATGCCCTCTCAGTGGAGATTACCCTAAATATTACACGTTGTCTAAATCAACTGAGTTGATGCATTAATTTGATTGAAACATTAATATCCATAAACTTCTCCGATTAATAGAATTTTTGTCTAATGAACGCCAATTTGTTTTCCAAAAATCGGTACATATTTTATATGTTTCAAATTGTGAAATATATACAGGGTGGTCCGTAAGTAATGGTCCATAGAGACATACCAGATTTTTTACTTCAAAATATTACGATTGGAGCCAACATGCCTTAATAAAATGTTGATAACAAAAAAGATACAGGGTGTGAAAGTTGGAAATTAAAAATTGAATTTTCGTAATAATTATAATATTTTTGAGTGTATGAACGTGAAAATTTAGGGGAAGATAGATGTTTCTGTATACGAGAAATCATAATTTGTTATCTATTTCGATGTATCTTCTAGAGGGCGCCACATACGCCGTGTTTATGACGTAAATACGAGCATAATTTTTTTATCCACAATCTTAAACCTACATTATTTTCGTGAAAAAATGGTATACTTGTCATTAGCTCTAGAAATTGTCCGTTTTCAAGAAAAACGCATTTCAACAATCTGCTGCATGTTTCATTACAGGAAATTTTATCGTAGTGTGCGACAATGCCAAGACAGTTTTAACAATTAGAAAAAATCATTGTTACAGTTAGCAATTATTTCAAATTGTATTTATTAATTTTTGGTAAAAATCAATTAAGTATTTAAAAGAAAATAACGAATTATGCCGAGACATAATAATTTCTCGAATTTGGAAATGAGAGATATGACGGTTGTTTATTGTTAACAAAATTTCAATGGACGCGCTGCGCAACGTGAATATTGCCGAAGATTTCCAAACAGATTGCAACCTGGTAAACGACTGTTTCAAAATCTATTCAGAAACTTAGCGAAAGTGGTTCATTTCGTCCTAAACGTGATAATTTAGGTCGACCAAAAATGATTACGCCTGACCAGGAAGACGAAATACTAATTCGCATTGAAGATGATCCACAAACTAGTTCAAGACGATTAGCTGCAGCCACGGGAATTAATAAAACATCAATTTTAAAGACATTACATAAAGAAAAATATCATCCATATCATTTTACACCAGTTCAAAATTTGTTACCTGTCGATCTTCCTTCAAGATATCAATTTGCAAGTGATATTCGGAACAAGCAGAATACTGACTATACATTTGTCAACAGAATATTGTTTACAGATGAAGCGACATTTACTCGCCGAGGTATTTTCAATTTAAGAAATAAGCATTGTTGGGAAGTTCAAAATCCTCATGTAACTCGAGAACGGCACTTTCAACATGAATTTAAGATTAATGTTTGGTGTGGGATCATTGGAAACCATTTTCTAGGTCCATATGAGTTGCCAGGAAATTTAAATGGTACAAGTTATTTAAATTTTTTAGAAAATAGCTTTGTTGATCTATTGGATGCGTTACCACTGAATTTGAGGCAAAATATGTGGTTCATGCAAGATGGCGCTCCGCCACATTTTACTCATCAAGTAAGAACATATCTAAACCAACACTTTCCTGAACGTTGGATTGGCCGTGGTAGTATATTTCCTTGGCCGCCACGTAGTCCAGACTTCAACCCTTTAGATTTTGGTGTATGGGGCACAATGAAGGAAATTGTTTATAAAAACACTATAAATACTCGCGTCCAACTTTGGCAAGAAATTAGTAATGCCTCAACTTTTTTTGATCCAATGGTATTATTTAATATTAGACGATCTTTCATAAATCGTATGGACAAGTGCATCGAGGTGAATGGTGGACATATTGAAAATTTACTTTGAAACATTTCCTATTTTTCCTTAGGTACATATTCAGTTTTTTACTTGTTAAACGCTTGATAAAATCATAGTTTTGTTTAATTAAATTTCTCCTTTAACTGGTTTTGTAAATAAAATTTATCAACTTGATAATTTGTATTTTAATGTGTACAAAGGGATAATGTTTAATTGTCAAAATTAATGTTTTCATTAGCGCACACTACGATAAAATTTCCTGTAATGAAACATGCAGCAGATTGTTGAAATGCGTTTTTCTTGAAAACGGACAATTTCTAGAGCTAATGACAAGTATACCATTTTTTCACGAAAATAATGTAGGTTTAAGATTTTTAAAAAAAAGAAGCGTTAACGTTGTGGATAAAAAAATTATGCTCGTATTTGCGTCATAAACACGGCGTATGTGGCGCCCTCTAGAAGATACATCGAAATAGATAACAAATTATGATTTCTCGTATACACAAACATCTACCCCTAAATTTTCACGTTCATACACTCAAAAATATTATAATTATTACGAAAATTCAATTTTTAATTTCCAACTTTGACACCCTGTATCTTTTTTGTTATCAACATTTTATTAAGGCATATTGGTTCCAATCATAACATTTTGAAGTAAAAAATCTAGTGTGTCTATGGACCATTACTTACGGACCACCCTGTATATTTGGAACAGTCATTTTCTTTAAAATTTTCGAAATATATTTAGATATTACTATGCTTTAAATGTAATAAAATGCAAATTGTAATCCATACTTCTTGAAAAAATGGCAATAGCAAATTATTTTCGATGTTTTCCTGACAATATTACTTTATTTTGTGATACAAACATTGTCAAAAATGCTTCATTAGATATGTTTTCTATAAGGAAATTTTGGGTATATCCATAAAACACCATTTTGAAAATTTTAAATATTGAAAAAAGTGTATTATGATATTTTATTAAAGGTAGTAAACTTAGTAATTTTCTTTCTCTACATTTTTTAACAGTATTATGAAACTTGGGCATAATTCCGTATCAGCATTATCTGCCTGTACATTTAGTTGCATTAATTATAAATATTACCTAATCATAAAATTAATAAATATTTTAAACGCTAAATTTCAGCATCGTGTCTGAAAGTGTAATTTATAAAAAAACAATTTTCTTCAAATTAACTTGCAGCCATTTATTTGTTCCAATATTGCTGTATATTTTGCGGCATAAAACGAATACCACTATTTTCTTTTTATTTGCTCTAGTAATTTTAAATCATTTCATAGTTCTAGAACGTTATTAACTTTTGATTAATGTTAAAGATATGAACTTCAAATACTTAATTTGTTTACGCGTTACTAGCAAATATGTTCAGTGAAATTGAAATATGAAAAGGTAGCACGATAGGTATAAAATATGTACTTTATGAAAATTAGTTTTTTATGTTTATAAATAACTTAGAAAGTACGATTGTAATAGGAAATTATATACAGGGCTTGTCACTTAACAAACCCGTTTAAATTAATCAACTTAAAATCTGAATCCTTGTCCTAAAAAAATGAACACATAAAATAGTAAATACCACCAAACTTTAGAACATATGTAATGAAGTGTTTACTAGACACTGAGGGAAATCGACCAATAAAAATGTTTTGCTGATATAATCTGTGTTATAATAGGAATTTTTAAGTAGTGTTACATGACAAGTTTAATTTCAACTACAACTCCCTCTTGAAACTTGTATACATGTTGTACAGGGTGTCCCGTTCATGTTTCAAAAAAATTTGTGTGCAAGTTCCTTATGGAAAAATAATAGGGGTAGTTAATGTAACGTTTTTTGTCTTAAACGCCCTGTTTTCGAGATACAGTGTGTTGAAGTTGTTACTTTCCATATGATTTTCCTTAATTATCTTTAAATTGGCTAAAGATAAAAATGTCAAAATTTGTACACGAGTAAAGATCATCTGTGCGTTAAGAAAAATGTGCAAAAGGTTTCTTTCAGAAAAGCAGTGTCGCCGATATAGGTAATTGAAAGGGTACAATCGAAAAAGAAATGTTAAAAGTAAAAATTTATTACATTTCTAAACGGTTCTGTAAACTCTAAAGTAAAGCATACCAACTTCAACACACTGTATCTCGAAAACAGGGTGTCCAAGAAAAAAACTATATGAACCACCCCTATTATTTTTCCATGAGGAAATTGCACACAAGTTTTTATAAAACATGAACGGAACACCCTGTATATAAACAACCTCACAATTTGAAGTTTCTTAAAATCGAGCGCACGTGCAATTAATTGAATTGTTGAATTGTCTAATGTCTCTTTCCTTGGCTTTGCTTTAACTAGAATAATTTTATTTTAAGTTTTCCGTTTTTTAAGCGTTTAATTGAAACGTTTAAAACGTTAAAAGGTTACGTACCTGCGCCCGTAACGTCTCCTATGAGATATATTACGTTTCTGTAACTTTTGGTTGAAATATCGTTTAATTAAAAACGTTGTACGTTCAACCTTTAACGTTATATCAACCAAAACTACGTTGATTTAACTACATATAATCATCACTGGGACATTTTTTAAGGCTTCTTATATAAATA